AAAATTGGTTAGGGGAATGGGGCACATGACTTGTGAGGAAAGTCTGAGGGAGCTGGGCTTATGTAGTCTGGAGAAGAGGAGACTGAGAGAGGATTTAATAGCAGTCTTGAACTACCTGAAGGGTGGTTCCAAAAAGAATGGAGCTAGACTGTTTTCAGTGGTGGTAGATGACACAATAAGGAACAATGGTCTCAAGTTGCAGTAAGGGAAGTTTATGTTAGATATTAGGAAAAACTCTCTCACTAGGAAGGTAGTAAGACACTGGAACAGGTTACCAGGAGAGGTGTTGGAATCTGAGTCCTTGGAGGTTTTTAAGGCCTAGCTAGACAAAGCCTTGGGTGGGATGATCTAGTTGGGAATGGTCCTGCTTTGAGCAGCAGGTTGGACTACATGCCTCCTGAGGTCCTTTCCAATCCTAATGTTTATGACTCTGTATTTCTGTGAAAACCACACACAATGAAAAATTAAGTGTGTTTATTGAAAGAAGGGAAAGGATACTACATTTGTTTTAACATTGGATTCTATACTGTATGCTTCAAGATTGCATCTGCCTTATTCATCTTTAAAACAGGAATGTTGAGAGAGTAAATTGGGCTGACTGTGTTTAAGTGGGGGAAATAGATGGAAGAAGGGGTTCTGAAGTTAAAGCACTTAAAATGTCCGTGTTTTAAAAAGATCAGCAAAATTATGGTAGTGTTAGAATGATTTTGTCACTGTGATGGCCCAGGAATTAATAGGTTAGTATTTCTGAGGGTGATACCTTTTATTGGACCAGCCTCAGAATTGGGATAATTAGACAAGCTTTAAAATGCAAGACATTTTTTATCAATCAGATATGAGAATGTCCTTCTCTAAAAAGCTCATCTGACTGTACTTCAACTATGCAGTTGGTCCAGTAAAAGATATCACCCTAAGAAATCCTTGCCTCTAGTAATATTATGTCTCTCTTATGCCTAACACACATGTGGCAAGACTTTCAACTCTGGCATTTTAAACTGAAATGTATTTAAAAATGTGTAACTGTTTTTAATGTGCTTTGAAGAAATATATCAAGTACATTCTAGAAGATGGATCAGAAAATATTAATGATCCAAATCCTTTTAAACACAGTATTCAATAAGGAATTTGTCATGTTTTTTTCAGTTATTCATTTCCATCAATATTATAAAGAACTTCATCTGTTGGTGGAAAGCTGAGGCTCTGAAGTGAGTCAAAAATCAGTATTTAGGAGTAGAATAATATATAAGTTTAATCTAACTGATCCTTGTCCATTTTCACCCAAAAGCACCAAACTGTACTATAAAAGTAGAGAACAAAATTGGAAACTCCACTGCATAAAAAAACCCTTTTGAATCCTGATTCAGACCAGTGCATGAGTTCTGTAAAAATCCATTTCTTGTACCCTGCCCCTGTCAGTTTTAGCTTCTCATTTCTTGGGTTCTTAATGCCTGAAAGAAGAGCAGAAACAGGCATTCCTAATGTACTGAAAACATGTGAACTTCAGCTATCTATGAATGCAGCAAAACCCCATATCTAGCACCTGGATCCAGCTGGACTATGGCAGTATTTATCCCAGCCCCCAAAGCTATATAATCCAAACAGAAAACAAGTATAACTATTCCTGTTTCACACAGCCAGCACTTAAGGTCTGCTGCATCTTGTTGCTTTATGGTGCCAAGCCACTAATTGTACAGTCAAAACACCTTCCCTTCTACAACAGAAAAACCTATGCTTTGACACATCCTGTGCAAGCCATAAGAAAAACACTTATTTGGCACCTGGATGTTGCTGGATCAGGCCCGTTCTATTGCCTAAGTGTAGAAATCAAATGTTGGTGCTTTATCCTAGCATGTGCATGCTTGATAAATCCAAATATGCACCTGGATGGAGCAGTTTAAGCCTTTTTTTCTCCCACTTAAGTTCTTTATTTGTGTGGACAAGTTGTGTGATCATACTTTTGTGTGTGCTCTTCCGGTGCTACTGGGCCAGTGTACCAGTATAGGGATTTTTCTCTGGAAGTAGTTGAATGTGTTTTGTTATTTAGATTACAGTATGGGGGAGAGGAGGAAGGCAAAGGGGAAAAGGGCCCAACACTTATCAAGACTAAGTAGGATTCCTCTTCCAGACAGGATTTTTTATTTTTACGGGACAACTGAAATTGGATGATGGCTCTTGAAAATTGGTAAAACCAAGGAATTGGAAGTGGTGTTCAGCCAGGATTTGGTTGGGTTTGCACTGTTTGGTTAACTAGAAAGATACTCATTCTCTACCCAGCTAGTGAAATAGGAAAGATGGGAACTAAGTAAAGCTGGATCTGCAGGATTTTGGTACAGGTGCCATTTTGATGCCTTTGTTGTCTTGGATGTATCTAATTGAGATGCCTGGGGCTTGCACCCTGGGAGCAGCTAGTCTTGTTCTTTCTTCAAGCAGTGTCTATTTGGGTGCATACTGTCAGAACTGGTCCAGTTCAGTAGAATTGGTTTGGAAGCACCCTGTAACCAGGATGTGTGGCATGCCCGCTTTTTAGCTCTAGGGGTGAGACTGGGGTCCAGTACTATGTTCCCAACCAGAGTTTCACTGCGCTGGGGGCAGGGGCTGCCAGACTTTCCTTTGGTGGGGCAGTAGGTCCTCCCTGCTCCCCACACAGCGGGTAGAGTTGGAGGAAGCTGGGCCTGCAGGTGTTGACCTTCCCACCGCAGGAGCAAAGCTTGTGCTTGTGTATGTCTGCACCCTAGGGCTTCAGCTCCCCCCAGATCACTGGAACTTGAAGGCTTTGCTCCCTAGCAGTGCTTGTTGCCTGGTTTTCCTGACGGAGACTTAAGGAGTAAACAGACAGGAGTGTAAAGCCAGCTGGGGATGCCCAGGCAAAACGGCGGCGTGTGATGAGGACCGTGGGGGCAGCGGAGATCGTGGTCCGTGGCCGGTTTCCAGGGGCAAGGCGGGCACACGTGAAGTGCTGCACCTCGCCTGAAAGCCCGGGCTGTGAGCGGCAGGGTTTGCCCCCCCGCCGCGGGCTGGAGCTCGGCTGGGCTCGGCTGCTCTGGCCCCGGAGCGGCCCCCCCGGTGCTAGAGGCAGAGGGAAAGTGCATGTGCTACGGCATCCTGCAGACGCCCCTTTCTGCCGTGCCCCCTCCCCCTCGGTGAGTGTGTGCCTCTCTCCAGTCTTAGCCTGACGCAGGCAGATCGAAATCACCTTTCACGCCCCAGCCTTCAGCGGAGTGGCGCCGCTGGGCTTCCCTTTCGGATTATGCCTCTAATCCTCCTCCCGTAGCCGAGCGCGGAGCGCGGCCAAGTCGGCGCGGCGCAGGCTGCCGGCTGGAGGCTGGGGGCTGGGGGCGTGCTTCAGGGGCGAGCGGCATTTGCCGGCCGCAGGTCGATCCGGAGCGATCGGCAAAGTTGGCCGAAGTGGGAGGCAGCGGCCACTTGGGGGAAAGTTGCCGGGAGCGCAGCGGACGAGCCAGGCTCCGAGGCAGGAGCCGCCGGGCCGAGGAGGAGCATGGGCACTTTGCGGGATTTACAGTACGCGCTGCAGGAGAAGATCGAGGAGCTGAGGCAGCGGGATGCTCTCATCGACGAGCTGGAGCTGGAGTTGGATCAGAAGGACGAGCTGATCCAGAAGCTGCAGAACGAGCTGGACAAGTACCGCTCCGTGATCCGGCCCGCCACGCAGCAGGCGCAGCAGCAGGGCTCCGGCACCTTGCAGGGCGAGCAGCGGACCAAGCGGCAGGCGATCTCCGCCGAGCCCACCGCCTTTGACATCCAGGACCTCAGCCATGTCACCCTTCCCTTCTACCCCAAGAGCCCACAGTAAGCAGGGGTTAAGCGTTGTGTGCATCTGGCATCCTGTCTTTGGTCCTTGAGTGGTCTGTATTGTCTGTCCATCCACTTGTCCAGGCGAGTCCCCGCACCTCCTGCTTGCCGTGTCTGTTCTCCTGCCCGCGGCTGAGCCCGCGGGTAGCGCTGCGGGCCGCTCCGGGGGCTGCCCTGTCTGTCTCGTGCACTGTGTGTTTCCGCATTGCTGCTGCCTCCTGCGTCCCGAGCCTTTCCTTGCGCTCCTCGTCCCGGCGCGGCGGGGGCCGTGCTGTGCGCTCCCGGGCGGCCGCGGCTCGGGGTGCCCCCCGGGGTCGCGGAGCGGGGGCAGGGGGAGCCGGGCCGGAGCTGGTGCTCCCTGCCCGCTTGCACACACCGTCCTCCGGGCCTCACAGCTCAGCCTCGAGCCTGCGGGAAGAGCCCGGCGCGCTTTGAAACAATGGGCGAGCGGAGCCCCGCGGTGCCGTGTACCCGGGAGCGCGGCGGCAGCTTGTTTCCTCGCCGGCTGCTCCGTCTCCCACCCGCCATCCCTTGTGTGCGTAGCTGAGCGCTGTCATCTGGCAGCTGACACCTTGCGGTCGCCCTCCTGCATCCCCGGGCGGAAAAA